CTCAGTCGTGGTCTCCGTCCAGAAGTATTGCTCCAAATCCCGGCGCTCTTGAAATCCATTCAAATACATGGATCTCTTGTAGTAATTCCGAGGAATTCTGATCACATCGTATTCCGGGCTACTTTTCCCCCCAGAATCACTGGTTTTTGCACTACCGGTGCTCTCAGTAACACTTTCTGACATAGTTTTTCACACAAAACTTAGTTTTAAAATGTAAAAATTATATTTGATATGATTTGGAAAGCTGTTGATTGCAAACTAAATGAATATATTGTGACAAATGTATTATAGTATGAAATGATTGCATAACCATGTGTGCAATAGTTATAAGTTTAACGACTGCCTAACGTATCGATTGCATAATAAATCTACCTGTACACTATTGTACATTGTATCATATGATTAGTGTTTGTAAAATAGTTGGATAGAGTGCTATTTAACTGGAAGTTTATGAGGTTTTGTTTCACTATTAATACAGTACATGAGTGCTTTGCAGTGTGACCAACTCAAGTTTCGTAATTAGTGGACATTTTGATAAAATAATTGAATAAATAGAGGACAAATAGTGGACAACATATTTGATAGTGGAATTTAATTACAACTTTTTGAAAATATTTTTCAGCTAATCTCACTCAATTTTTGACTAGTTTTATCATAAGTTTTTTACTTATTTTTATATAAATTTATTGCAATAAAATATCATTTAAATACATTATAAAGTATTTGATTATGATTATAATGTGAATTTCATTTTACATAGCAGTTTTATCCTTACATTATTTTTCTAAATAAGGGATTTTACCATTTTAACAAATAAAGGACACTGGACAAACACCTCAAATAGTGGACTGTCCACTGAAATAGAGGACAGTTGGCCATGCTGGTGCTTTGCAGTACATTAGTACACTGAATACAGTACAGTAATTAAACTTTATAATTAACAAAATAAGTGTTTGAGTGAAAGCAATGCAATAATTAATAATAATTTGTTTGTTTGCGAGAAACGCTGTAAACGTTGCCATCATTTCATTAAACCATTCATTAATTGCTTTCTATTTATTGACCGTTCAATTGGTTTGCCTTTAATTGTATTACAACTGAGAGGTGATCGCAACCAATGGACAAAACATACGACTATTTATTCAAACTCTTACTCATCGGTGACTCCGGAGTGGGAAAGACATGCATTTTGTTCAGATTGACCGAAGATGCCTTCAGCACCACTTCCATCTCAACCATCGGCATAGACTTCAAGGTCCGGACCATTGAATTGGACGGCAAGAAGATAAAGCTCCAGATATGGGACACCGCAGGACAGGAACGGTGTCGCGTCATACCGACGGCCTACTATAGGGGAGCGACGGGTGTTATGTTGGTCTATGATGTGACGAACGACAAGTCCTTCGCCAACATCAACAACTGGATTCGCGATATCGAAGAGCACGCGTCCAGTGATGTCGAGACAATGATTTTAGGCAACAAATCCGATGTCAATGACAGGCGACAAGTGTCCCGCGAAACGGGCCAACAGTTGGCCACCGAGTATGGCATCAAATTCATGGAGACCAGCGCTAAGGCCAGTGTCAACGTCGAGGAGGCCTTCTTCGCCTTAGCCAAGGATATCAAGACAAAGACCGACAAACAATTGGCGAGTCATCCGCACAGCACTCGCAACACACTCTTCCCCTATACTCCCAATGCCCACCATTGTTGCGGTAAGCAGGGTTGCAAATAATTGCAGGGTTACAAATTGCTATTGTAATTGCTATTATACATCAGAATTTCCATATGTTTTACATTATGTTATCACTTACACTTTATCAACTTTTCAACTCATCACAGCGACTAACTTGTATGCATATAATATTCAAATATAAGCAAGTTTTTACGTCCGATGCTAATCATTGTTAAATATAATATACTAATAGTGGCCAGTTACATTTATTATTGCAAATTGTTTGTAATATTATGTAGAAAAATACTGTATTATTACAATTATCAATATCTACCGTATTTGACGGAAAACAATTTGTTACTAAGCACACAACTTATTATATTATTTATTATGAAACTACACTGATTAAAAATAATATGAAAAAATGTTTAAAAATAATTAAATTTTATTTAATCAAATTAGTTTAAGGATAAAATAAATGATTTTAAATTATTTAATATTTTCAATTAAATTACGTATATTATAGTATTATTACTTATAGTATATAAAGGAGTTTAAAATAAAGATTTTTTACGTTGAGTGTCATTAAAAGTTTATTTAAATTAACAAATATGCCATCAATAGATGGCTAAAAATCATATGTTCCACAAAATCCTTAATAACTTAACTTAAAGTAATAAAAGTTTTATTTATAAATATTAAGGAATATTCTTTATTTGATGAATATTACAATTTTATATATCGTGTAATATTAGATAAATATATGAAAAATGTCAACATTGTTACAAATAAAACTAATTGATACTAATTTATTTTATATTAATTCTTATACGGTATAAGTTATACCGGTAATTATTGTACCGATATATTGAATGTGTTTGAGTTAAGCACACTTTTGGATTATCATTGAGTATAATTTAATAAATAGTTTTAAATTAAGTTTATTAGTAATTGCAATAAATGATCGCTCATTCAAAAACAACACAACATTTGTTACATTAATTGATCATAATTTCTATAAACAAACTAAAAGTCTTAATATAACACAACAGTCGATGAATGGGTGACACATATGGATGAGCCGCGGGTTAACAGGAAGGGAAGGGTCGCTCGAACTCGCGCTTGGATTGCGTGAAGCGATTCCGGATGAGGAATGAGGCGACCACTTGAGCCACTTTGTCGGGCACGTCCTCGTGCACCGTATGTCCGCATTTGGGCAGCACTTGCATCTGGAACTTGCCCTGCATTTGGCCCACCGTTAAGGCGCGGTCGAGTCGGTCAACGCCCGCCAACAGCAACAGCTTGGCGTCCGCTCCGCACTCCAGGAACTGATTGGACAGGTCTGCGAACCATTGGTTCCAATAGGGCTCCGATCGGAACAGATTCGTGCGCCACGTGTAGCCATTGGCGTCCGGTTTCTTGAACACCGGCGACGACCCGTTCCCC